AAACCACTTGCAGGTTAAAAAAATCTAAACCCTAACTCGCGATATGATATGGGCTTGGGAGAGCCCGAGTTAAGTCCCGAACCTAGACTTAGCCCGTACCAGGCGAGACCCTTTTTTTTTTACCAAAAAGCCGGGGGTTGGTCGCGACAAATCGAAGAGAAAAATTCGAAGGCTAAGGCTTTGCCAATTTATTTCAATCATACATGAGTATCTAAATATGAGAAACTTCTTAAAGACAGAGATAAAGGGCCACCTAAAAACTTTGCACAGAATGTGGCTTTAATGGCAAATTATGAGTCAAAGTATGAACCTGACATGAATGAAAGCATTGAAATAAATGTTGCAAATATGATGCTCGACAAACCTTACGTGTGTGTCGATCCTTAAAGCCTGCCAAAAAAAATGGTTAGGGTTAAAGACACTCAAGTTTACTCTTTCAATATTACCGAGTTGGATGAAATCTTCAATTTTACTCTTAAAGGATAGCCTCATAATATTAACGGAAGGCCAAAAAATCCCAAGTAAAGAAGATTTAGTAAACAAAAAATATTGTAAGTGACACCACTCATGGAGCCATAAACAGTTAATTGTGTTGGCTTCTAAGAAAATAATTCAAGAGGCAATTGAGTAGGGAAAAATCAAATTTGCCGATGACAAGAGGGCATATGATAACCCTCGATTATCTAATTTAAAAGAATCGAATGATCGATAAATCATTGAATTTTTTTGAGAGGGCATATGTTGACACTAAAAAATGACTAACTTTTGTTTATTGTCAGCAAGTGACAAACTTCGTCAATGAGAACAGAGTTTGGTCATTAATGAACTAAAAAATTGACAACTTGATGAGCATCAACAAATCGCTAGTGATGTCATCGACAATTCAACATGAAAGTTATCGACGAGAGCCTTCAAAACTTAGAAAGCTAATCGACTAAGTTATCGGCAGAGAGCAATCGACCAAAAAACATAACTGTTGGGTGGTTATGCTTATTGCAAAAATTTTAGGGTTTTTTTTATAACTTCTTATGAATAAGTGTTCTAAATAATAGGGGTAAGTGGATAAGGTAACTTTTGTAACCGTCATTAGGAAGTTATTTGTATATTTGAATTCAAAAGTTGTAACTGCTGTCATGACCTCCCCGTGGCGGCCCTCAAGGGGACAACAAGCATGGTTTGAGGCTAATGAATTGTTAAGTCTAGACCTAGGACTTAACTCGGACTCTTCCAAGCCTATACCAAGTCGCGATTTAAGGTTCAAGTTATTAACATGCAAATCAATTTTATCTATAAGTTGCCACTATTCATTTAGGGTGGGTCGATTAGAAACCCAAGTAAGGTGATTGGAGAATCGCCTTACTTCTACGAACCAGAGATTATAAGAGTTCATAAACTTGATTACACTAGTTATCTAACTAGTACCCTTTCGGTACATAACCTTGTTCAAACACTACTTAAAACATTCATGCAGTCTTCCTATCGGTTGTGAATCCTAGAGTTCTAATCCTAACCAAGCTAAGAAAACGACAATCAATACATCGAAAGTGCACAAACAAAAGCCTAACATGCCGCTAATCGGACACATGTAAGGTCGAATTAAATATGCAATTCAAACATGCGAATCAACCGATGTGCAATCCAGCATGGCATTCATCATACAAGAAAGTGAGAAAAGGCAATTCCAAAGCCCAATTTTCATTTTTTTATTTTTTATTTTTTATTTAATATTAAAATATTATAATAATGTTATAATAACATTATGTAATAAATGGATTCAGGTCGGGACTGACCCATCCGCAGGCCCGACCAAAATCGGCTGGCCCAGGTCGGATCTGCGGATCCAAACTGGGTTAGGATTGATTCGGGTTGGCCAAGGCTAGCAAACCAGTCTGATCTGGTTTGCAGGCTCGGCCCGAGCCGATTCACGCACGAGACTACTGGCCGAGCGAGATCCGGAGTCTGGCCGGACATCTTGCTTGGTCATTGGCCTTATACTTCTTGGCCAAGGACGAGGAGGTTCTTGCCTGGCCAGCTGCCTAATGGCTGGCCATAACAATCGTTGGCCAAGCCTCGACCGGGGCCTCTCGAGCCCAAACATCAATCGGGGCTTGGCCGATTGACTCAAGCCAATGGCCTGGTCTCTGCCTCAAAAGGTTACCATAAGGCCATCTTAGGCTTCCCAGTTCCCCAACCGACATCTACATTGCCGGCCGAGAACCTAAAATCTTCAATTTCGCTTGGGCATTCGTCGAACACTAGCTGTGCTCGACAGAGGTCCCCAAACCTTTCTTGGGGCTCAGACCTTCTCCGGCGGCCACGACTCACCTCTGACAGCGACGACTGGACCAGGAGCAAGGTCAATCATGCACACAAAAATAGGGGAAAACAGAGTAACGAAGAAGCCTTACCAGTCGAGGCATGTCTAGGAAGTCATGCCGGCTTGCTAAAGACGGCGAGGCTGATTGGCTTCCTTTCTCAATATGCAAACCCTCAATCCTCACTTTTTTTACTCTCGATTCTTTCTCCTTTCTCTTCAAGAAAAATCAACCCCTCTCTTTCTTTCTCCTCTCTCCGGTTAATATACCGGCTGCCAGCCACCTTATCCTTCCCTCTGAGCCGCACAGCTATGCAATTAAATAGAAATATTTTTATTTTAGCAGTTAAATATTTAATTCCTAAATTTTATGCAATTAATTTAAGAGTCACGCTTTTTCCATTCCTTTAGCTAATACATTCCCTATAAGAGTGTTTTAATCATATTATCCTCAGTGGATCTCACTTTTTCAGCATCCTCTATTATTTAGTTTCTTTTTTTCCTTTTCTTGTGGGTCCCACCTTCCTCCTTCTTAATTCTCTCCGTTCTCTTTCTCTCTAGGGTAATTCTGGCCATCTCTTATTCCTCTTAGTTGAATTTAATCATGGTTCAAGTCTTGGTGTTAATTCATCAATTATCCGAAAATGAATATAACCCCCTCTCATCTCAATTCCGCTCTATAAAGTATTTATATTTTCTAATTAGCCAAGAAGATGGAAAGAAAAGGGAGAAGAAGAAGAAGCTTCAAAGTCAAAATTTCGTTTTTCTTGCTCTCATCTCAATTCTGCTCCAAAAAATTTTTTATCTTTTTCATTTTCTTTGTTTTCTTCATCTGCTACTAAATTATGACGAACAACATTGACTCCCAACACAGTCATCGTCAACTGAATTATGACCATGAACTATAGGAACATTGTAGTCCTCCTCCCCCTCCTCTTCTCTCTCTCTTTCTCTCTCTCCGCCTTTGATCTCTCCATTTCTTGTTCCTTTTCTTTTTCACCGTGACAAACATACTGAGTAACCTTGCTTCAGCTAACCACTCTTAACTCTCTTTTCCACAGTCTCAACCTCAGCATATCATTTCTTCTCTTTCATCTCTCCCTACTTCACTCTCTCTCACCCACACAAACTATCCTTTTAAATTTCGTGCAAACCACCTCGATTAACTCTTTTGGTACTTGGATTGATGCACGGAGAGAGAGAGAGAGAGAGAGAGAGAGAGAGAGAGAGAGAGAGAGAGAGAGAGAGAGAGAGAGAGATCAATTAGAGGGAAATCAATCAACGGCGTCATCTAACCAAATGGTGAGTGAGCATTCACCATGGATCTTTTCTCGTCCAAGCTTCTTCCACCCCTGGTTCACCTAGATCTACTCTTGGGATACCAAGACCCTCACCAAAGCCCGCCACCACTACCGCCACCTCATCCAATAACTCTGACACTCTCACCCCGACGTCATCTCCTCTTCCTCAAACACCACTTCGAGCCCGCGCCTTCTGCCCCTACCGCTGCCGCCGCTGCTCCCTTGCGATCTGACCAGGAGGCCACAACGTGAAGCACAGAGAGTCTCCATTTCGACCACCAATATGACCATAACATCGTTTGTTGAGAGAGATAGGATGGAAGGTGGGATCCACAACCTAATTCTACTTTAACAGACCAAGCAAATTTCAGTATTAAACCCCACTTTGGACCCAGAAAGCCAAAACATATGGTAGTTTTGTCACATCACAGGAGCTAATGAAATCAATCCAAAAGTATCTTTTTAATTAAAGAGCATTTGTGCCGAAATAAACAGCTAAGAAGGAGCATGTTTAAGAAGCTTGTAATAATTGGATTAGTAGGAAACACAAATTGAAATTCTTGCCGGCTTCTCGTTTTATTTCTAATAATTCCTTTCTCTAACTAGACAATGAATTCTAAGAATGATTTATAAAATTAATCATATAAAAGAATAAACCCAAATCACTTGTCAATCAACCAAATAAGAAAAATTTACATTATTTAATGTATTGTCTTTTCTATTGTTATTTGTAATCATCAAAACTTTTTTTATTAAATGTATTGAATAAGTATTCTAAGAGTACTCATAATAAGTTATACTTTTAATTATCACTTAATATTAAATGTGACTCACTTATTTTATTAGGACCACTTATCGTATGAAAAAATCACTTAATATATCAATTTTGTACATCAAATCCTTAGAGTCCTTTTTGTAGAGCCGTGGTTTTGTCGTATTTTGTCGTGTTATTTATACTTGTGCAGTATAATCATGTACATTGAGCGTTTACCACTACAGTAAATATTGCGAGACTAGCCATACCCGAAGCCAATACCTTTCTTTTTACAGGTAAAATCGTTGTTGAAGATCTGCGACCCTAAAGCGTTGGCCATTGCTCGTTTCTCGTAGCACTTGGTGTGTAGTCCTTGACATAACCGCGTTGATGTTGCCATCAGTGCAATAGTTTGTAAAAGACACGTCATCGTTTCACTCGTCTTGGTCTAGTCCTCCCTACTGCACTTTCTCCTTCAGAAACCCTAGATCATCTCAATCCACTGTCCTCCTGCACTCCATCCCTATATTTACGTAATTGACTTGCTAACTCAAATCCACACCCAACTAACACTTTATCTCACCATTAGTGTTCCACAACACAGAATCTTTCACTACTGATCCAACTCGATATGGAGGAGTACCCGACAGGTTTCAGGTTCTATCCAACGGAGGAAGAGCTCATTTCGTTCTACTTGCAAAACCAGCTTCGTGGCCTTAAGCAAGACAAGCTTCATCGTGTCATCCCAGTCCTCGACATTTTCAACACTGAGCCATGGAATCTCCCACGTAAATCACAGTCGGCATCCCTGCATTCGATTCTTTCACATCCCCTATTTTAATTGAGCTTTGCAGAGAACTAAGTTCTTGAAAATTTCAAATCTTGCAGCGCATTACCAATAAGCTTTCTTTTCCTCAAATTTTGTTCGGTGAATTTGTGCTGCAGAGCTTGCGGGAGAGCTGTGCAGAGAAGACAGAGAACAGTGGTTCTTCTTCGCGCCCATGCAGGAGAGGAAGGCCAGAGGAGGGCGGCCCAGCCAGAGCATGGCCACCGGCTACCGGAAGGCCACCGGGTCTCCCGGTTACGTCTACTCGTCTGACAACAAGGTGATCGGCGTGAAGAAGTCAATGGTTTTCTACATGGGAAAAGCTCCCACAGGAAGAAAGACCCCGTGGAAATTGAACGAGTACAGGGCCATTGAACTCTCAACGACCAATCCCAATTCCACAAGCAGTAATATTTCCATTCCTAAGGTGAACATGCTATGTCAAATTTTGGACCCTTATTTCAACCTTTTCAAATATAGAAAGGATAAAATATCTTCGCGTGCATGACGCCTAACCCAATTTTCACTTTGAATAATAGCTCTTGTTTCGGTTTTAGATCGTGTACTATTTTGGTGCTGTGCAATTGCATACTATTGAATTTCGGTCTCTAGTTTATTTTCTATTTGGTCTTTCACAGAAACATGTAACGAACATTATTCTCGGTCTTTGATTTTCTTGAAATAATGGGCTTATAGCTGAGGCGTGAATTCATATTGTGCCGAGTTTATGTGGTGTCCGGGAGCTCTCGAGCATTTGATCGCCGGCCATTGAAATCGGTAGCCGAAGAGACAATTGTCCTGGGTGGTGACCGCGCTGCTAGCTGCGGAATTGGAGGCGGTGGATGTGGAGATGCATCATCGTCGGTAGTAGTAGCTGTTCATGCAGAAAGATCCAATCATTGGCCGGGAAGTTCGGAAGAACCAATTTGGGAATGGGAGCAATTGGATTGGCTCTAATTTTACGTAGAAGTTCTCTGATGATGTAGTCTTGTTATAAGTGCAATCATATGTACATCTACATGTATCCAATCTCTCCATCATCATAAGTATCCTTGTATATTTTGTAAGTGAGTTTTACCCATCTATCGAACTTTTCATATAAGATTGATTGGGCCTAGAAGACTTAAACTCAATAGATTAGGCTTAAGAAGGAAACTAATTCGTTCTTTTAGAAAAATTCGGCAAACCTCTGTATCTGATTACAAAACTGATATCTGTTAGCAAACTTCTCCATGTATCAATCTTTCTGGGAAAAGTACCAAAAAAGTCCTAAACATATTGCATTAGTACCAATTCAGTCCTAAACTTTTCAATTGGACCAAGATAATCTTAAACATTTTCACATTAATATCAATTTAGTATATCCGGCCAATTTAGGTCGGAAATCGTTAACGTGGACTTCATCTGTCCTACGTGATACGGCCGGCACTGACATGGACATTTTTATAATTTTTTATTTTTTTATTTTAATTTTTTTTCTTCTTTCTTTTCATTTTCTTGCCCTTTTCTTTTTGCCGGTGGCCAGTCGCATGCCAGAGGCCATGGCCAGCAAGGGTTGGCCTTGCCCACAGGTGAGGACCAACCTCACCAAGCCATGCCTGGGCGAGGGCGAGCGCCGGCGAGGCCCCCCTTGCCAAATTTGGTGAGGCCGACCCTCGCCTAGGCCAGGGCAGCCTCGCCGCGCCATGCTTGGGCGAAGGTTGGCCTCACTGTCGCCAAAGCAGGGCTCGCCGGGCCTCATCTTCTCCTACCTCTGACCTGAATCGATTCAATCAATTCGGTTCCTTGATCGTGCCTCGTTTCTAGGGTTTTTTAACTTGCAGAAAACAGAAACAGGAAAAAGAGGATGGATCATGGATTGGGGGAACGTGACGACAGAGGATCTTATGGACGTCCTTCGCGAGGTGGACTGGTCTTTGCCGCCTTGTCCCTTGCCCGAGTTCTTCTCCAAGTTTACCGTCCCGAGATCTTACACCAAGTGGAGCAGTCGGCTCAAATGCAACCTCAACTAATACAATTTCCTTCCTTCGTCTTTGATGAATTTGTGAATCCTTTATTTCTTGTATCACGAGTTCTTCGTCCGGAAAGGGAAGGGCAGATCTGAAGTATTGTGTTTAGGCAAAGAAATTGAAGTGCTCTTGCCTGGGCGAGGGTGAGGCCTGGCAAGCCCCGCCTGGGCAACGACGAGGCCGGTTGGCCTAGGTGAGGCCGCCTTGGCTTGGGTGAGGGTTGGCCTCGTCAACGCTCGCCCTCGCCAGCCATGGCCTGTGGCCGGTGGCCGGCGACTGGCCACCGGTGAAAAGAATAGGAAAATAAATGGAAGGAAAAATATATATAATTATAAAAGAAAAAATATCTACGTTAACGTCGGTCGTGCCACGTAGGACGGCCAGAATCCACATTGGCAATTTTCGGCCTAAATTGGCAAGATAAACTGAATTGGTACCGAAAAGGTTTATAACTAAATTTGTTAAATTGAAAAGTTTATGACTAAATTGGTATCAATGCAATAAGTTGATAACTTTTTTTTGTACATTTCCCCAACATTTTTACACTCGATGATGATACGTCAAAGAGCTTGTGACTCGTGGTCTATAAGAAAATTATTTGATTTAATATTGGATGCCGTGGTCATTTTTATAACAAATCCTAGCAAATTAGGGCTAGTAACATGTTGGACAATTTTGTAAAATAACAAGGAAAAAATGGGATATCTGCAGTTACATATAGTTCGTTGCATTTGTGCCGTGCGCTCCATTTTATAATTTTTTCATTAATAAAAATTTATCGCATTTCCGTCAACTACTAACTCATTTACGGAAATAAATAGAGAAAAAGTCACAAAAAAACCCTAAGCTACGCCCAACGTGACACATCTACCCTAAACTTTTTTTTGTGATACCATAAACCCCAAACTTGTACCTGTGTGACACATTTACCCAAAACTTTTTATATAACACCAAAACCATATGATACATTTACCCAAAACTTGTATCCGTGAGACATATTTACCCTGCGTCAAAATTCCGTTAACGAACGCTGCTAAAATTCTTATGCGGCTGCCTACATGGACAACGGAAAGCAAACAGTTCTAACGTGGCGCTCACGTAGTAAAATTGTCTAGTCATTTTATGTTTTTTTTCTCGTTTTCTTTTTCCTTTTTTTTTTAACTTTCTCGTTCGTTTTCTTCCTCGGTTTGGCGACGGCGGCGAGGGCGACGGTAAGGGCGGCGACGGTGATGAAGGAGGTAAGGAAAAAAAGAAAAATAAAATAAAATCTTGACATATGGTAAATGTGTGATGTGGGTCGAAATTTTGAAATTTTGGTGTCATAAAAATATTTAGGGTAAATGTGTCACATTGATACAAGTATGGGGTTTTTTGTGTTAAAAAAAATTAGAATAAATGTGTCACACACGTACAAGTTTGGGGTAAATATGTTTTACGGGTACAAATTTAAGGTTTTTTGTGTCACAAAAAAAAATTTGGGATAAATATGTCACAATAAACATAGTTTGAAGTTTTTGGTGGCTTCTACCTAAATAAATAATTAGTAGGATGCGTGTTTATATCAACATATACAAAGAGTTTTAAAACATAACAGTATTGCACAACTAAAGTGTAGATAAATTTATGCTTTCCATCTCACAATATTGTTGTACTAAACTCGCTCCCCGGACCGCCCGGAAGGCCGGAAGTTTAAACATAATCATCGGGTGTTTAATGTTTTATTTAAAGAATCCACTCTCATTTGACTCAGTATCCTACTAACTCCTTTTATATTATTATTGTAATAGGTGTTGAGATATATAACAAAGAAGAGAACTTACTTATAATATGTGTGCACGGTAGATTTAGATTAAGCAAAAAAAAAATAAACAACAAAATTGTAAAAGCCGATCCAAACACATCCAGTAGGTATGCTAAAAACAGAGAAAAAGGAAAAAAAATAAAAATAAAAATAAATGAGGATCTATCTTTGTCTATCATAATTAACTATTACAATCACTCCATACTTCTTATGATTCCTATCTTTGTTTTTTTCTATTTTTCATTTGTTTATTTATTGCCACAAGGAGATAGTCCACTTTTGGTGGATGTCTCCATCATGATTTTATTGGATTGTGTTATATTATTCTCACGAGGCCTGTTTATTATATTTCTTACTTTTCATGTTCTCGTGAGCTTGACTTCCAAAATCATTATTTTAATAATAAAAATGAAAAACAACACTTGTATTAAGAAAATTACAACCATCTTAAGAATCAAGATATTCATTGTCATGAAATACGCTCTAGTATTTTCTTTTTCTCCCTTGTACTTACGGGAGAGATGCTCGTGTTGTTCTCATTCTCTGAAATTCAAATGATTAGTTGGTGGTAATTATTATCAAATATGAATAGTATATCGAATATTAGGAACTGATAGTAATTTAATTGTCTTTGGAAAGGGCAAAAGAAAACAGAAAACACTTACGGTGTTCCCTGGGAAGACAGCAGAAGGAAGATACGAGGATATTTCTGAAAACGGGATAAGTGCATTAGAAGTCCTAAAACTTGTCATGAAAGTGCAATTGAGTCCTAAAACTTTCAAAAAATGTGATCAAGTCCTAAAACTTGTCACGAAAGTGCAATCAAGTCCTAAAACTTTCAAAAAATGCAATCAAATCCTAAAATTTATCACGAAGGTGCAATCAAGTCCTAAAACTTTCATAAAGTGTAATCAATGGAAGGACTTGATTGATCAATTTGATAAGTTTTAGGACTTGTTTGCACTTTTTGAAAGTTTTAGGACTTAATTGCACTTTCGTAACAAGTTTTAGAATTTAATTGTACATTATGAAAGTTTTAGGATTCAATTGCACTTTCGTGACAAGTTTTAGAACTTTCAATGCACTTATCCCTTCTGAAAACTGACGTTAAGCCTTTCATTTGTTCTTGAAATTCGGGGAGAAGGGGATCGTGTTCCTAGATTGCTGGTCTTGATGGCCCATTTTTATAGTCAAGAGCATGTCATTACATAGTCCTAAGAACAATATTTTACTAAAGATTTTATTATTTAATTAAAAAAAGAAAAAAAAAAGAGAATATCTTTCGAAGTAAAGTGTAGGTGAATGAGTTGAAAAACCTTCATATTCGTTCGATGTCATTTTGGATAGATCTAATTTAATCGTAAATACAGGACAAAGACACCAGAGTAAATCCTAATGCCTCGTTCTTGTTTTCCATGAAAAACGAGTATTACTGAAGAGACGGGAATCGCATTGTAACAATTTTCGTGTCTACAAAACCAAATTTCAAAGACACTCTATTACGATTCATTCTTTGAACTAATTTAATTTAGCATTAGAGAAATTAGGAACGGTCAAAAAACCAGATGAATTCACTTATATAGTATGCTCAAATCGAATGGGTTAAACAAACCTATCAATCGTGCAATATGAACCATCATAATTTAGGGTTTTTGCGGGAGAACGTTGCATAAAGATACTAGGTAACCCATTATATATTTTTAAAAAGACAAGCATGTGCTGATAAATATAAGAAAATTATAATTCATTTATGATTTTATATTCTTTGTTTCGAAAATCTTGATAAGAAAACAACATGTAGAGCTATATTATGATGTGGAAAGAATATCTTTTGCACTTTAGTTGAGCAATGAAGTTTTGATTAATCACTCTTTATGAATGTTGAGATAAACATGCGTCCTACTAATTTAAAATTGTTTTTTTTTTACGTTGAACTAGTTAGTATTAGACGGAAATGCGATGAATTTTTATCAATAAAAACTTTTAAAAGGATGGAGTGCACTGTACAAATGCAACGGAACTATATATCATATAATTGAAGATATCTTAATTTTTCCTTATTATTTTAAAATATAATCTAACATTTTTTTTTCATTTATATTCCAACATTTTACCAGCCCAAATTTGCTAGAGTTTGATTGACTGTGGTGTTCAATTTGATCAAATGACTTTCTTATAAACCATGAGTGACAAGCTCTTCAACACATAGACCATCAAGTTTACAAAGAATGATATATGGAGAAGCTCAATAACAAATATCCACTTTTCTAAATAGGTGTCGAAACTCGCTGGACCTGCTCAAAAGGGCGAATAGTTTTCTCTTGAGCCTTGCCTATAGAGTTAGACCCTCCTGGACCCAATCAAATTTATATGGAAAAATCGATAGATGCTTAGGATCTATTAACCAACATTTAGGTTGGATGTCTTGTTCGGTTTGTCTATCCATTAGGTATCAAACAGAAAGTCTTCATACGCATAGATTATGCATACAAACTATACATGGATATGTACAATGATGGAAAGATTGGTTACATGTAGATTTACATATGAGTGCACATAACCAAATGACTACATCACATGAAATTAAAGCCAATCCAGTTGCTCCCAATCCCAAATTGGTTCTTCCAAACTTGCCGTCTCCCACTGATGGGAACTTCCTGCATTGGCTGCTAGTACTCCTGATGATGATGCATCTCCACATCCACCTCCTCCGCTAATAGTAGTGCCGTCGCCACCCTGGATTGTTGTCTCTCCAACCACCGCTTCCGGTGGCCGGCGATCAAATGCTCGAGAGCTCCCGGACACCACATACACTCGGCACAATGTGAATTCACGCCTCAGCTGTAAGTACATTACTTCCAGAAAATCAAACACAAAGAAAATGTTTCTTGCATTTTTCTGTGGAAGTCCAAGTAGAAACTAAACTAGAGACAGAAATTCAATAGTGTGCAACCGCACAGCACCAATAAATACATGACAGAAAACCGAAACAAAAACGATTATTCAAAGTGAAAGTCAAGAACGAGAAAATATTTTATCCTTTCTATGTTTGAAAAGGTTGAAATAAAGGTCCAAAAATTGAAATAGCACGTTCACCTTAGGAATGGAAATATTACTGCTTGTGGAATTGGGATTGGTCGGCGAGAGTTCAATGGCCCTGTACTCGTTCAATTTCCACTGGGTCTTTCTTCCGGTGGGAGCTTTTCCCACGTAGAAAACCATAGACTTCTTCACGCCGATCACCTTGTTGTCAGACGAGTAGACGTAACCGGGAGACCCGGTGGCCTTCCAGTAGCCTGTGGCCATGCTCCGGCTGGGCCGCCCTCCTCTCGCCTCCCTCTCCTGCATGGGCGCAAAGAAGAACCACTGCTCTCTGTCTTCTCTGCACAGCTCTCCCGCAAGCTCTGCAACACGAATTCGCCAAAGAAAATGTGGGGAAATTGAAATTTTCAAGAATCCAATTTTACTGCACAGTTCAATTAATGTAGGGGATGTGAAAGAACCGAATGCATGGATGCCGATTGTGATTTACGTGGGAGATTCCATGGCTCAGTGTTGAAAATGTCGAGGACTGGGATGACACGGTGAATCTTGTCTTGCTTAAGGCCGTGAAGCTGGTTGTGCAAGTAGAACGAAATGAGCTCTTCCTCCGTTGGATAGAACCTGAAACCGGTCGGGTACTCCTCCATATCGAGTTGGATCAGAAGTGAAAGATTCTGTGTTGTGGAACACTAATGGTGAGATAAAGTTTTAGTTGGGTGTGGATTTGAGTTAGCAAATCAATTACGTATATATATAGGGATGGAGTGAAGGAGGAGAGTGTGTTGAGATGATCTAGGGTTTCTGAAGGAGAGAGTGCAGGAGGGAGGAGGAGACCAAAACGAGTGAAGTGACGACGTGTCTTTTACTACCTCTTGCACTGATGACAACAGCAACGCGGTTATGTCAAGGACAAGACATAAATTGATACGAGGAACGAGCAATGGCCAACGCCTCAGCGCCGCAGTCCTTTCACAACCGAGTTTCAAGAATTTATGACTCACAACGTGACGTTATTTTTACCGTAGCCCAAAAGCCGTTTTACTAACAAAATCTCCATTCGATGTATATAATAAGGTATGTTTTGATTGATGATAGATAAGAGAAAAGGCAATGCATTAAGTACTGCAAATTTTTCTTATTTTGTTGATTGACGAGTGATTTGGGGTTGTTTTTTTATAAGATTTATTTTATAAATCATTTTTAGAGTTCGTTGTCTAGTTAGAGAAAGGAATAATTCAAAATGGAAAAAGAAGCCCGCGAGAATTCTAATTTGTGTTTTCTACTGATCCAATTATTACAGTCTTCTTAAATATGCTCCTTCTTAGTCGTTTCATAGCTAATGTGATGTGACAAAACTGACGTATGTTTTGCTTTTCTGCGTCCAAAGCGGGTTTAATACTAAAATTTGCTGGGTCCGTTAACAGGGTATTAGGAATTGTCTAAGGAAGCCACAGACCAAGTTCATTAGAAATCCTACTTTTCTGGCATCAACAAAAAGATGCATGCTTAAATCAATTATATCAAAATGCATAGGTAATGAATATTACATACCTTTGTGAACTGAATATACTATTTTCACAATTTGTCATACTAGGTTGAACTAATGACATATCAAAAAGTGATAGATTTCGGTTTATTTTGGATCCACAAAAGAAGGTTCGTTCCTAAGTTTATTTCGCATTATGATGATTCTAATGATCGCATCGTCCATGAACAAGTCTATAAAATCTTTTTCTTGAATCGAATGAGAACATGATCTCAAGTGGCCATTCTTCTTGAAAACTAAGTAGCTCAATAGGCCTAGAAATGTCTCTTCAAATCTCGAATCAGAGCATCGATTTGTCCCTCTATGCATAGAATCCTTGACCAACATACATTGCAGCTCGAAAACTAGGAAACCATCCGTCCAAACGTCCCTAATTTTGTGATTCAAGCACAATGATTCTATTCTATCACAGAGTGTTGCTTAAACACATCTAGGGTTATTAGTTGCTAAAGTGTTAAATCAAACCATCAAAAGGTTTTTTCATTACCATGTAAGCGAAGCGTCACCCATGCTGTCATGCTAGCTGTTTCAAGCTGAATTCCATGCAACGTCATATCTAGTCATGAATAGTAGCTGAAAAGATTTACTTGAAGCATCCAGGGTGTCGCTAGTTTGCTCTAGACCAATACGCTTTTAGTTTACTTCCAAGTTAAGTAAAGGAAAACGACAAATCGAACTAAGTCGCGTAAAATTTGGTTTGAATGGAGGAACTTCTGCATCTAGATTAAGAATAACATGTATTTTGTTCAATTTTCAAGAAGGAAACTTCCGAAATGTTACAAGCTCTTCCTTCTAGTCGATCCCACCCGAACTGAAGTGTTTGAATTTCTCCCTAAAGCTGAAAACTAAAAGCAGGATTAGAACCGAGAGCATTTATTTCATTTAGTTCACCTTTCTCCTGGGCCAAAGTCATTTCGTTTACTTGACTTCCAATTGAAGTTATGTTTAGATGACGGGCAAACAATTTGAGATGCACCATTTTTTTTAACTTCTCAAGAAAGCGGCCGCGCATTCAACTTGAGAACTTCCTCACTTCTTTCTTTGTCTTTCACTTCTTTTCACCGCTCCATAATACATAGCTTTCGGTGGCTCAACTATCTCCAAAGTCAAAAAATTATTTGAATAGCCATTATTATCGGGTAACATACTGCGTGATAATCGAATGTAACGTTTCATATAAAGAATCCACTATCATTCGACCCAGTATCTCTTACCAACCATTTCTTCTTCTTTTTCAATGTGATAGGATTTGAGATATTACAAAAACAAAAAAGTAACTACTTATAATATGCGTGCATCGTAAGATTTATATTAAGTGAAAAAGTAAAAGGTGAAATTGTAAAAATCAACCCAAACAGATCTAGTAGGTTTGCTAAAAAAGAGAAAGAGGCAAAAGAAAAATGAATGAAGAACAAAGACATACTTACATTTTCTACTCGGATACATCCACCATGATTTTCTCACCAAGCAGCAAGCAAGACAGCGACACCAAGAAGTTTTGCATGTTATGATTAACTACTGCAAACATTCCATACTTCCTATGATTCCTTTCTTGTTCTGTCTTTCTTGCGACAAAAATGAAGATAATTCAACTTCCACTTTCGGTGTATGTCTCCATCATGATGTTATTAGAAGGCCTGTCTATAATTTTTGTGACACGTTAACCGGGTCTACATCAACCCCCAAATAGTGCTGATTGCCTCGTAGAAAAAATTTTACCATTTCATACTATTCATTTCGAAAAATCTTTATCGGGTAATAAAAACGAAAAACAATGCATATATTAAAAATTCCAACTGGGAATTAAGATATTTCTTGTCATGGAATACACTCAGGTAATTCTCTTTTTTATACGAAAGGCAGAGTTGCGTGCGTTATTCTCATTGTGAAAGTGTCATGCATCGCTTATATTCTAGTTTTTCTTGGTATATACTTAATTTTTCTCTATTTATCAATTTAAACTTATGGGTTTGACATTATAATATGGTGGCGGAGTCAGGTCATTCAGTTTATTTCATGTGTGCGGACATTCTATTAGTAGCATATTCTGTGGTCAAATATCAACATTCCCAGGGAGAGAAAAAAGTACACAGTGGAAGGAAGATATGAGGAATCTTCTGAAAACTGACGTAAAACATTTCATTTGTTCTGAGAAATTTGGAGAAAAAAGGGATCACGTTCTAAGATTGCCGTTCTTGATGGCCCATCTTTTATGGTCATGAGCATGTCATGACATGATTCGAACAACGCCGATTTTGTCCTTACTTTAACAAGTGTTGTGATGTTCAACTACTTAAAGAATTTTAGGCTAAAATCTATATTTTTTTTTGGTAATTTTATTAAGCCCGTTCAATATTATTTCAAATAGATCTAAGTTTAATCGCAAATATGGGACGAAGACGCCTAAGCGAATTGACGCCCTCGTTTTGATCTTTCATGAAAAAATAGAATTACTCAAAAGACGAGAATCATGCCATCACAATTTTCATGTCCGCAAAATCGAATTCCAAGGTATGCAATTACCGAGCTTGTTCCTCGACCAATTTGATTTTAGACAGAATCAAACGAGACCCGAAAATACGAGAGAAATTAAGGAAAAATCGAGGTCCTCGACCTGAGATAGTACAGAGGGACTATCTCAGGTGGAAATGGTCAAGAGCAGTAATGTGAAAATGCTCTTCAATGGGATCCCTTACATGCTCAATAACCAAATCAATCATCAAAGATCCTACTTGGTTTTAGTGGGGGTGGTGTCGGTGGCCCCCCCGGCTTTGAAAATCTGAATCCATGCCTGCACACCTTTTGAGCAGACAACTGTGATTTGGTTCCGACAAGAAAAAATAGAATAATCCTCGTTGACGAAGACTACTGTGCTTGCAGCGGGAAGATTATCCAAAAAAAAATGAAAAAAATTATTGTAATTTTATTAATTTAGTCATTAACATTTTTAATTGTATCGATTTGATCATAAATATTTTCACGTTTTACCAGTTAAGTCCATCCGGCTAATTTAGATCAGAAATCGCTAACTCAGATGCCTTCTTTTACTTTACTCATTTAGTTATTCCTAAGGATGATTCAATCGGTAAAACTAGTCTCCGAGCGATCCTACATGGTATGATCAATGCTGACGTTGATATTTTATAATTTTTTTAGATTTAAAAAAATTGGTTTTTTTCTTTCCTTTCCTTTACTCGTTCTTTTTTTTTTTTTTGGATTAAGGGCTAGCAACCCTTGTCGGCACTGGGCGAGGGCATTACAGCCCTCGCCGGCCACTGGGCGAGGGCGTCACAACCCTCGCTCGATGCCCTCACCTAGATCCAGCGAGGGTCGGCCGGCAACCCATGTCGGCCCTCAATCCACAAAGAAAAGGAAAAACCAAAAGAATAATTTTAAGAATGTCTATGTTGTCTCTCATTGTGCTATGTAGGACGGTCAATATCCATGCCAGCAATTCCAGACTAAATTGGCCAAATATATTCAATTAGCAAAATGTGAATTAGTTTAAGACTAAATTAGCACAATTAAAAAGTTTATGATTGAATTAGCATAAGTATAATAGGTTTATGACTTTTTTTTATCATTTTTCCTGCTTGCAGCCATTTGTAAAAGTACAAATGTATATACTTTGGGGAAGCATATGCTACTTATATCTCTCGAGGTTTATATTTATTAGTTCATTGCTTAGTCTAATAAATACCCACATTTTCATTTCCCTTTGATTTTATCCTTCTGCTGTAAATAGTTGTCATCTTGTCATCATGTTGCTAACAATGCCTATACACGGAGGATGGATCTTATCGTGAGCCTGGTAGCTTTGGAATCCATCCAAGACCACTCGGGATGAATAGGCCAGAAGAGCTCTTTTGGGCAAGCCTGAGCAAAGCTATTCGATTATAAAGCCTGATATGCCATGACAGGGCTCGATCTACCCCGGCTCGATCTAGGCATGCTCATTGATCATCTCTAATGGAGACATCTATTATTCCGATTTGGCTAGGCTATATATACAGAAAGGAAAAAATAAAAATTTCAATAAGGGCCGTGTGGTCTGTCGAAAACTATAAACAAAAAATTCCTTACAAAATATTATGAAAAGCAAAGCCAAGGAAGGCAAGC